TTCTTTTTTTTGTGAAAAGTTCTAGGATTGGCCAGTTTTCTTCTTGTTGACGACTTCGAAAAAGAGCTTCGACAATTGACTGTATCCATATACTTACCGGGTTCGTAATCCTTATCACAATTATTGGTACCCAGCTGGAAATGGCTTGATTTAGGCCCAGAACTTTTTTGAGCTTTTGATTTACTGTCTTTTGAATGTTGTTGATGAAGATCTGGTAATTTTGGTTTTTGTATAGAGCATGGGGCCCAAGGTGATACAGCATCGATGTGTAGTAGGCCGATATTACTAATCTTTGATAGTGGACAGGAAGTTTGTTTATAACTTGGATTTGATTGTTGATTTTCGAGGTAAAGAGATTTACCAGGATGGGTAAGTTCGAGTCATGAAGCGAGTAGGTCACAATTTTACCCACTATTTTTTCTGTTAAAGAAGTTGTTTTGGTGAAGATTTTCGTTTTATTTGGGTTGATGGTGAGATTAACCTGTGCCAATGATTCAGTCGCCATTTTCAGATCATATTCTTTACTTTCGTTCTTACTAAGGATTAACATGTCATCAGTGAAAGCCAACGCTTTGACTCCTTGTTGTTTCATTTGTCGGATTGCGAAGTTTAGACCAATTATGAAAAGAATGGGGCCCAGAGATGAACCAGCCGCAGTTCCAATATCATCTGATTTGTACCAGATTCGTTTCTTATCTTTATAGCGGAGAGTTCGATTTCGATGAAAGGACTTGACCATAGAGAAGGTACCACTGTCAACAAACTTTTCAAGCTCATTGTAAACGATTTCCAGTGAGATAAAATCAAAGGCTTTTGTTGCATCTATTGAGATGATTATTCCATGTTCAAGGTGTTCGCATATTTTTATGTGTAGGTCGTTGTTATTTATGGATTGTTGATAAGCAAATTGAGTTTCGGGAATGAGGATTTGAGGCAGAACTTTCTGGACTCTTTTGGTGAGGATCTTGTCGAAGATTTTTAGGATGAAACATGAGATTTTTATGAGACGAAGGTTACCATCGGGTTTCGGTAAGTAATGAGCGCCGAAGGTCTTAATGACTGATGGTATAATTCCAATTTGGAAAGACTTTTCTATCGCTGAGGTGATGATATTCTTGTTCAGATTCCAAAATTTCTTCCAAGTTGTAAGTGAAAATTCATCAGCATTTCCAGAGGTTTTCTTGAAGTTCATTGATAGAACCGACAACCTTTCCAGTTCACTCAAGCAAGATTGACTTCCATTTTCTATCTGGGGGGTAATTTTTTCTGTGCTGTAGCTACTAAGATCTGGTTCAGCCGAGCTTTTGGTGAATCTATTTCTCATTAGTATTTTACTAATTATCTTCCACTGTTTTTTACTGTCTTTTCTAATTTTAAAGAGATAATTGTAGGTCCCTATTTTTTTTCCTATTCTGAGTTTGATACATTGTTGTTCTAATTGTCTAATTAATTCTGCGTCTACTTTTGCTCGCTTCATTCTTTGAATCTTTGTTCTGAGTCTTTTTATTCTTCTATTTGACGTCGATTTCTGAACTGTCTTAATTCTCATGTTTTTTTCCTGAAACTCGACTAATTTTTCGAAGAAGGTGAAAGGGTCTTCTAATCTAATGTTAAGTTTGTATTTAAGCATAAAGGTAACCTTCCTTAAATTGTTTACGTCCACGAATGGAGGTTGAAGTGGAATATCTAAGGTAAACTTCCTGTGGTCAGTAACAATCTCACCTAAGCTCAGCTGAACGTCTTTAACATTTGTGATGAGGATGTCGATCCATGATCGCATTAAAGTCAATCTCGTATTATTGTGCTGAAAGGTGTAGTTGTCAGCTCTGGGTTTATTTATAACCTCTAGTTGATGATGAATGATGAAATTGGCGATTGGTGTTGAACAATCCTTATGCGTTGTTTTCATGGACCATAAGGGGTTTTCGCAATTTGCGTCCATAACTATCACAATGGGTAGGTGAGCATATGATGCAACTAGTTCAAGGAAGTCGTGGACATTGGCTGGTTGATTTGCGTGAGCGATGTAACCTCCAGTAATAACAAGTTGTTTCCTACAATAGGTTATCACAGAGATTATACAATTTTTTACACTGATGTTACTGGTATGAATTTTAATGTCCGATGAGGTGATTAATATGGTTTGATCATTTATGACGAGTCCTCGATTGATGTAGTTTAAGGCTTTACCTCTATTTGCTTCAACCAACACAAGAACTGAGGCTTTAGATTTTAAGGTTAACTGGATGAGGTTGTCAGTTGTTTCACGCTCTTTACGAGCGTTTAGATAAACTAGGTTTATCCTCTGTTCGTAGGAACCATTCATAATTAATGTCATGAATTTTTGCTGCTTTGTTGATGAGTTTTTTAATTGTTGCACAGTCAGATGAATTAGATGAGTGAGGGCCTTGGCAATGATAGCATTTAGGTTGATTAGTACATTGGTCAATATGATCTAATTGAGAGCAGTTAACACAACGAGGTCTACAGTTTTCATGAGGTCGACGAATTATTTTTAGGCAACAACACATGTGAATGTCAAGATCATCATGAGCTTGATGAGTTTTTCCCATTAGATGAATGTAACCATCATTGTCTAGAATTAAATCACGATTTTGTTGACTTATGTTTAGTCGAATGATGGCAAGGTTGTCTTTCAGTTGAATATCAGCCACAGAGGTTTTGTCATCTCTTATTAGATTGTTGGAGTTTAGAATGTTGTTTAGCACGAGAGTAAATGAAAATTTAACTAGGAGAGGAGCTTTAAAGTAAATTGCTGAAGGTGTTGGCTCGAATTCGTAAATGGACGAGTTGGGAAAAAATTTTTCAATGATTGAATAAATTTCAGCTCTAGCATCCAATGATACAGCACGAATTTCAACTCTTTCGTTTTTTCTCAGTCTAATTGTTGTCACTTTGTTTGATGAGTCAGGTAATGTTGTCATGAGAAACTGTATGAACATTGAATAATCGGTGACACCATTGAGTTTAATTTGGAAGGATAAACTTTTATCACAAGTTGGAGTTTTTTTAATCCACCCAAGTCTGAGAGCTTGAAGTTCTCTAAAGACTTTAAATGTTGACATTTGTTTAGTTTGGTTGCTGTGAAGTTGAAAAGAGAAGGGAAAAAAGTTTAGTGATGAGGTTAGAGTTTGTGTTTGTTTTGAATTTAAATTGTTGTTGTTTTAAGTTTGTGTTATTCATTTACACTCAATTTTCTTAATTGCCTTTCTAGAGTTTTCTTAATTGTTAAAAGAGGATTTGGAGTTTTGGATTTTGAGCTTTTTGAGGATTAAGAGGGTTTACTTGATGATTGTTGAAAGATGATTCTACTTTTAATGGTTTGTGTTAATTGTTTTACTTTGAAAAGGATATTGGGTTTAATTTTCATGTGAGTGTGAAAGGTTTGAGGCAATTAAGTTAATTAAGTTTTAGGCCATTATAACTTTGTATTGAAAGTTTCTTCTTTCAAGTTCAAAAAGTAATTTTTCTTGAAATTTGGCACATTTATTCTCAAAGGCATTTTCTCCTCTCTTAAGGCAGTTTGGGCATTGCCATTTGTGCGGAGTGTTTTTAATTGGACATGTTTCATGAACATGATCTTTATCTCCGCAGTAAGGACAAATACTAATCTGAGTGCACTTGTTAGCGTTATGACCAAAACGAGTACAACGTCTGCATTGTTTTATGTCGAAATGATCGACTACACGAGCTCGTTTGTAGCCCACCGATATCAGCCCATCATGGTTCTCAAGCCATTCCCTGAGAGCTGGGTCAATCTCGATTATTACATCATGAAAGCGACCATTTCTATAGTGATGTTTAATGTTGACCTTCCAGCATTTTTTCCACTTGTTCTTGGTAACCAATCTCTGTATCCATTGAGCTGTCTCTTCTTCTCTGAATTTGACACTGAGCACTTTAATTTGAGGGTCATGAATGGGTGGAATTTTGGTGTCCCACTCAGGTTTGATTTTTCGAATGTAGTTGAAAATTTTGGTACGATCGGTTACACTTGAACATTTAATTTTCGCCGAGTCATACCCTGGGGCAACTTCCTCGGCTGTACCAATGTCTTCATTTGCTTCTTCTAACACATTTTCCACTTGATCAGTAGTTAGTTCTCCCAGTTTTTTATCGAGTTGATTTTTCAGTCCAGGGATTTTGACGATGATTGTATGATGAATTGTGAGATGTGATACGTCGAACCAAGTGGGTGGTGGACCTTGGTGAGTGTTAAAGGGGACTGAGAGGAGATTTTTTATTTGATTATTAGATAGATCTTGTATCTCAATGGGTTGCATCTCGATGTCCGTTTGTGTTGCTTGTTCTTGGATTGACAGTAACCGATCTGTGAATTTGACCAGGTCAAGAAGTTCATTTTCTTTTAGGCTATTTGCGAAGCGAGTGTCCTTGACTGCTTCTTGTAACGTTTTTATTATTGGAAAGGCGATGAGTTCAGTGTTGATGGTGTCAATGTTCAGATTTTTATCTTGATGTGATTCAGCGTATTCCTTAACAAGAGCAAATTTCATTCTTTTGGTTGTTTTCTTATCCCCTGATGAAGGTAAATTTTATTTTTAAGGTTTAAATATTAGTTTAGTTTGGTTATTGGTTATGTTTGTTTAAGGCTTGTTCGGTAAAATAAAATGTTTAAATTGTTTTTGATTTAAATATGAAGATTTACTTACGCAGTTTCCTGAGGTCAGGAGCGGAGAATTGTTTCTGGCTGTTTACCGACATTTCCCTTGTTGATGATGTTTTTTCTTAGCACACAGAGTTGACCAAGCACTTCTATTTAAAAATTATCACAGGATAGAAATTAATTTCGGGTGTTTTTCATGAAAAAGTTCCAAAAATTCAGGAGCACAGAAAAAAGCGACTTTTCTTTTCGAATGCTTTGAGAGAATTTAAGGTTAACACCGAGAGATGGCGACACAAAGAAAGAAAATAAGGTTTGGTCTTGGAATTGATTTTTCCTTTCTTTATCTCTTTCTTTTTCACTTCTTTTTATTCATTTGTTGTTTTTGATTTTTTCTGATTTAATAATAAAATGTTTTAAATTGTTTGTTATTTTGATTTTTTTTTCTATTCTTTTTGTCTGGAATTTAAATGGTGTTTTGATTCTACTTCCTCTGTTATCAATGATGGGCTGCTTCTGTTGTAAGTCTAAACGTCGTACAGAGGATACAAGTAATCAACCCTCCGGTGACAATTTGACCAGTCGATCACCAGGCCTCACCCAACAACACCATGAATTAATCAGTGCACCCATACAAAGTAATTTGGATTCTTCTCATGTTCATGTGTCTAATTTAAGAAATGGTGGACAACTTAATCCTTCTGGAGTTGTTGGTGCCAGTGGTTCATCTAATCTGCCTGTTGTACCGGTTCTAAATGATGATAGTTTACATGGACCAGAGGATCACCTTCTTAACAATAGTAAAGTGTTTGTTGCCCTTTATGATTATGATGCTCGGACTGAGGAAGATTTAAGTTTTAAGAAAGGTGAACATTTAATCGTGGTTAATGATACTCAAGGTGATTGGTGGTATGCTAAATCAAAATCAACCAAATTAGAGGGATATATACCCTCCAATTATGTTGCCAAACTGTCTTCTATTGAAGCAGAACCGTAAGTTTCAATATAAGAATAATAATAATCTAAGTTAACCCATCTTTCATTATGTTCTAATTGTTTCTTTTTCTTTTTTGGTGTATCTTCTTTTTTTTCTCACCTTACTCTCTTTATCTTCCTCCTCCTCCTCTTCTCTCTCTCTCTCTTCTTTCACACAATCTTCACTTCATCATTTAATATATAAAAGATGGTATTTTGGAAAAATCAAGCGAGCTGAAGCTGAAAAGAAACTTTTGATGCCAGAAAATGAGCACGGATCATTCCTTATTCGGGACAGTGAAAGCCGTCGTAATGATTTCTCCTTGTCAGTTCGTGATGGTGATACAGTAAAACACTACCGAATCAGAAATCTAGACGAAGGTGGATTTTTCATTGCCCGTCGAATACCATTTAAAACCTTACAAGAACTTGTTGAACATTACAACAAAGACGCTGATGGTTTATGTGTAAACTTAAGGAAACCCTGTATTCAAATTGAAAAACCAACTACCAGTGGTTTGTCACATAGAGATCAATGGGAAATTGATCGAACCTCTCTCAAATTTACCCGTAAACTTGGCCAAGGACAATTTGGTGAAGTTTGGGAAGGTCTTTGGAATAACACCACACCAGTAGCAATTAAAACTCTAAAGACAGGTTAGTTTAACAGAATTGATTAATTATTATTTCCATACTTCTGGAAGGAAGTCAAAACTGAGATGGTTATCAATTTCTCTTTCTCTCTCATATTTACATTGAAAGGAGCGAAAAAAGCAAATTCTTTCCCTACTCAGGCATCACACAGATTGTTTTTGATCAGTGAAATTGTATCGTTAGAAAGTCGCCAAAAATGATCATATTTTTGTATACGAATAGAAATTAACCTTCATCATTTATAGACAGCAAATAATATCTTTACCTTCAATTCTTCCTTCAGCCTTTTTTTACTCGATTTTATCGATCCATCACTTTTAAAAAGGCGAAAATGACTCAGTTATTGTTTCCTTAATTAGGTTTAAACGTTTCAATCGTAGCTGAAAGATAATCGTAAACAAAAAAAAACCAAACAAAACTTCAATTGATTTATTAATTTTTTTTCTCTCTCTCTTATTCCAGGAACTATGGATCCAAAAGATTTCTTAGCTGAGGCTCAGATCATGAAGAAACTTAGACATCCTAAATTGGTACAACTTTACGCTGTTTGTACTTTAGAAGAACCAATTTACATCATTACCGAATTGATGAAAAACGGAAGCCTTTTAGAGTATCTTCAAGGAAAAGGACGTAGTCTTAAACTCCCCCAACTTATTGACATGTCAGCTCATATCGCCTCTGGAATGGCCTACCTTGAGTCACAAAATTATATACATAGAGATTTAGCTGCTCGAAATATTCTTGTTGGTGAGAAAAATGTTGTTAAAATTGCTGATTTTGGTTTGGCTCGGTTAATTAAAGAAGATGAATACGAAGCTCGTGCTGGTGCTCGTTTCCCAATCAAATGGACAGCACCAGAAGCCGCTAATTTTAGTAAATTCAGCATAAAATCGGATGTCTGGTCTTTCGGTATTTTATTAACCGAAATTGTTACATATGGTCGTTTACCTTATCCAGGTATGACCAATGCTGAGGTATTACACCAAGTTGAACATGGTTACCGAATGCCTTGTCCACAAGGATGCCCGCAGGCACTTTATGAGATAATGTTAGAGTGTTGGCATAAAGATCCAATGAAAAGACCAACATTTGAAACATTGCAATGGAAACTTGAAGATTTCTTTACACTGGATGGATCCGATTATAAGGAAGCTTCCGGTGTCCACTAGGATGTGTAACATAATTAACAACAATTTAAACATATTTATACAATTTGACACAATTTTCAACTCTTTTTCTTCATCATCATCGATTTAACTTCAATTCAAAAATCTTCTCTTCTTTTTTTTCTTTAACTCTCCTGATTTACGATGTTAGTGAAGTAAAGAAAAAAAAAGAAAAACCAAGAAAGAGAGAGAGAAAAAAAGAAATGCAATTTTCTTCATATGGACGAGCAATTAATTAACCATATTCTCAGCCATTTGTTACTCCAAACTACTTCTTCAATCAAGAACTACCGATGTCAACACTAAACAAACAATCGTATTTCTAATCTTCTTGAAAGGTTTTCTTGATCTCTCCTTTTCCCTCTTCTATTTACCCTGTAGATCTTTACCAATTTGTCTTATATCACTCACATAACAACAAAAGGCACTCAAACTCTTGGTATCAAAAAAACGTTCTTTTCCTTTGACTTCCTTTTACATCACCTTTTTGGTATCAATCTACTTCTATCAATTTATCACTTCTTTTTTTACACATCAAAATTGATAACAAAAACCTTGTGTTCGTACGTCAGGTTGAAACTTTTTTGTAGATCCAAGAATTGACTTATATTTCTCTCTTTTCTCTTGCTATCTTCTTTTTTTCAATTCTCTTTCTCTCTTAAGTGTGCGAAAAGTGCCATCAAAAATTTCTGCTTTTTTTTCTTTAATAGAATATTAGTGTTCATGATAAATTTCGAATTCGATTTTGTAATTACACCGTTATCTATGTCGACTGAACATTCATCAATCACCATTTCTCTTCTTTAGTGTATCTTTATCTTTTATCATTATGTCAATTCTTCATTATCTTCATTGAAGTGAAATGCTCACTCTGTATTTCTATCAATTGCAATGCTCTCACTTTTCTGTTCTCTTCTCTATCTCATCATCATCATCATCATCCTTATCATCGCCATCAAATGAACCACAACAACCCAGACAACGTCGATACTATTCCAGTAAAAACAAAGGCCCAACAACAAGACGACCCCACCACCTATGCTCAAGCATTAATCATCTTTTTAATTTTATATATGCTTGTTTTCTCCATCAATCTCCCTCTATCTCTCTCTCATTTTGTTAGATTTCTCTTCTATTAATTTTGGCTCCCTTAACTTTATTTACAAATATTGTATTCACAAAAAACATTCTCATCAAATTCCAATCATTTTGTAAACTTTACATCCAAATCATTAGCACCTTATACTTAACACCCTTTCCACCACCGCCACTCATCAAAACCATCAATTCATTTTCCCTCTTCCTGAAAATCACCTTCATTTATAAAGGTGATTTTATCTCTCTCTCTCTCTCTCTCTCTCTCTCTCTCTACTCTTTCCACTTCAAAAATAATGTCTCTTTTTTCAATGTTGCAAGTAAAAAGTGAAGAGAAAAAAAAATCAAACCAAAACAAAAACAATCTTAACCTTTCATTTGAAAACAATCAGTTAATCTGACAAAACATCAACATGATCAATGAAGCAAATTATTGTGTCAACCGAAATGAGGGAATCATTTTAATACTTCACTTATTTTGCTTTTTGATTAAAGGGTCAAATAGAATTACAATTTTCTCCATTTCAGTTACTTTTCTCGCTTTCAACAATTAATCATTTAATTGTTAGAATTTTAAATCGTTGACCAGCCCGCCAACCAGAATATCTATTCACTCCTATCATATGTTTTCCTTTCATATGTAACCAGTTTCACTCTTGATACTTTTGTTTTCTTCCTTTTCTTGCAATTAGTTAATTTAATTTTCTACAATTAGTGATCAATTATCAGCAATACATAAACAATTAGCTAATTGTAATTTTTTTAATTCTTTTTAATCAGTTGAAATAATTTCCTATTATCAAAAGTGTTGGTGGTTTTCACTGTTGATAAAATAATCACTTCAATTGTTGATATCTACTAATTGTGATTGTTTGATTGTTCATAATCATCACAGCGATTAACAATGATGTGAAAGGATTAACCTACTGATTGCATATTAATAATTAATATATATAAATACCTGTTAATGTGTTTTAATTGTTTTCCATTTTTCTATCAACTTGGTTTTCACCAGCACGATTGAACGTGTTTACTATTATATTTTGAATTGATTATCTTTTCTCTAATTTTCTGCTAAATTTATTTTTCTATTTCAAGTGTTCAATTAATTGTATCATGTCTACAACCAGTTAAAGGATTTAATCGTCCAATTAACATGATTAAACCATCATTAGATTAAAAAATCAACCACCAACATCAGGTAACAACAACAAACATTAACCTTTCCAAGCAACATCCCAATCAGGATTTATTATCAAATCACCTTTTTTTTCAAATCATCATCATCATCATCATCTTCATCTTGATCTCCATCATCATCACCCAACACCACAACCCTTAAAATTAAATCAACTAATTTAACCAAAATAATCTTTAATCAATCAACATCATCTCCAGTTCACTTTATCCATTTAACCTTTGATTTTTTATTCTATTCTTTTCTCTCTCTCTCTCTCACTTTGTCACCTTGAATGACATAATCTATTCAATTGTTATCCATTAGATTACCAGATTATCCCGAACATTTCAAGTGCTTTTAATTGTTGGCTGACAGATCAAAATCAAAGTGACCTTACGTTTTACTCTTGGTAACATGGAAACATTGGATATAATAATTCAAATTGTCGGATGGATTTACTTTGCTGCCTGGTCAATCAGTTTCTATCCTCAAATTTTAATCAACTATCAGCGTAAAAAAGTGACCGGACTTGATTTTAATTTCATCGCCCTTAACCTTTCCGGTTTCTTGTGTTACACCATCTACAATGTTTGCCTGTTTTACATTCCCCGTTTCAAGGAGGATTTTGTCCACTTTAATCCAAACCAAACGGAGCCCGTTTTTGCCAACGACATCGGCTTTTCAATCCATGCCACTTTCGCCACCATTGTCACCATAATTCAATGTCTCATCTACGAACGGGGCAATCAAAAGGTTCACATTACCGTTATCATCGCTACTGTGGTCATCTGGCTCGGCGCTGGTATACTTACAGTGTTGGTCATTGTCCACAAATTAAACACTTTCTATCATGGTTATTACTTTGCCACCGTTAAATTGGGAATCAGTGCTTCCAAATACTTCCCTCAGGTATTAATCAATTAATTTGATTTTCTATTATTATCCTTTTTCCTCTAATCAATATTGCAAATTGTATTTCTATTTTTTGGTTATATTCATTGATTAGAACAAGTTTCAAGTTCAATGACAGACACTCTCTCGGGTTAATTATCTGACCAGTTGAGTTAAACTGGATTAAAAATTAATCGTTTAAATTTAGATTACATCTCATTACTTTGATTCTAACTCTTTAGTGTTTTAACAATTGATTTGATCAATTCTGGTTAACCACATGATCACTTTTCTCAGTATTTATCTAATTGTTCAAATATAGTTGTTGATTAATTAACATCGTTTTGTTTTCTTTCAGTTAATTTAATCATTAATTATCATGTTTCTTTTAATTTGATCACAGGCTTACTTTAATTACAAGCGTAAATCAACAATCGGCTGGAGTATTGGAAATATATTACTTGATTTTACTGGTGGATCATTTAGTTTAATTCAACAAGGATTGTCAGCAATTAAGGAGAGTAAGTAAATTTTCCTATTAAAGTTAACAGTTGAATACAATTACAAATGATTACCACTATTAATGGTTGATATTAATAATTAAAAACGTAGTTACTTGAGCTAATCATCATGAGCCATTTAATTAGTTAATTATCCAATATTATACAACCTTAATCATTTTGCTCGTTTGAAATTAATATTTATTTACTAATCATTTTGTAGCCAAATGTGATTAATTGAAACAATTAAGTACAAATATTAACATTCAATGTAATTCAACAGGTAATTTTATGATAACGATTTTATTAATTGTTAATTTTTTGTTATTTTTATCCAGAAAATATTGATACAATGATCGGCAATCCCGTTAAATTTGGCCTTGGATTATTGTCAATGGCCTTTGATGTTTTCTTTATGATCCAACATTACATTTTTTATGTTGATCGAGAGGAACCCGAAGACAATTCAAGAAGTGATTTATATTATCAATCGGATCAAATTGATTACAACAATGAACAAAATAACCGTAACAATCAGCCTCACATAGCTTAATTGTTACAAAGTGTAACTTGATTATCTTGTCAACAACAAACTCTCCTAATCCATTACCACCAACATCATAATCATCATCATCCCCATTTTTCATCACTTAATCATTCATATATTAGATAATTTAATTCCGTTTAATCTTAATCGCCATTTTAATTGTTCCCCAGTAACTTTTATATATTTAATTATTGTTGTGTTTTTCACATTCACATTTTTCAATATTTTCCTATTCTCAAGCCAATCTATTTTTGTGCAATAAGAAAAATCAACAAATTTTGATTACAATATAATATTTTTATATTCATCCAACCCAAATAATTAACTTGATCACTTTTAAAACTATTAATATTAGCAAGTGTATTTTCCAATTTATCGTGTAAAAGGTTAATTGTTAGTAATTGATCAAGACAATCAATGATATCGTAAAGTAACTAAACTTGTTGACAAAGACGATGAGACAATTTCAACTGTAAACTTTGTTGATTATCATTGAAGATGATCAAAGATGATGATGCTCTTGGCCTCGTTAATATAAACCAGACAGAATTAAAATATTACAAACAATTAACAGAGACAAATTTCGTGTTAATTTTATCCGATTCATTGAAATTCAACGATTCTTTCATAGAAAATCCTACCAACCGTAATCCTTTTTGTGAAAAGCGAAATCTTGACATTTTCAAAACACCGATATTATTACTATGGCCTGATAGCAAATTCGATAACTAAATTGCTTTTCACCAGAAATAGCAAACATCCATCAAGAAGGAAATGAATATTATTACAAAAGATATAAAAGATAAACAAGAAAAGAAAACCTAAATTAGGATTAGCTAACTTTTCCTCTCGATTTTTCAAAATAAACATTTACCTTCATGTTGATCTGATTCCCAGAAATGTTCAAATTGTTTCCGTCCATCTTTGTGACAGTTGTATTGATTTTGGTGTTTCTGGTTTTCAGTATAAACAAATTGTTGTACAGAACGATTTCAGTTACTTATCCGGTTTTCATTTTGAGAATCATTCGGCCTTACTTAGAACTTATTCTGACTTTTTACAGAAATTTAATTAACTCAGAAGCTTTTGTACAAATCCAATTCATAGATAAGCTCGAAAAATTCCTAAAATGACCTGCAAGTGCGTATTGAACTGAATAACCTTAAATATGATAAAAAAGTATCGGCCAAACTGCCATAGACTGAATATGGACCATTTAGTGGTTTTCGAGAAATCATGAAAAGAAAACGGAAATAGTTCTAAGATCGACCTGTAAAAAACTCTTCCCGCACTCTTTTTGTTAATCTTTTCCCTGTTAACGAACCAATATTGTAACAATTAACCTTTAAAACAACTACAAAAATCAAAGGAGATTTACAATCAATTAACCACAAAAATATGAAGTAAAAACAATCAGCTAATGAAACCAAATTGTAATTAAAAGGATTTAATCATCTTCATTAATTATTGATTATTGTGATGTTTAAAAGTTAACTGTAATTCTGGTTCTTAAAATGAAACATTTGAAATAGGATAATGTTTAATTTTTAATTGTTAAAAATGATTTCATTTTGCTCAATAAATCAAATTATTATAAACCAAATCCCATTTCAATTAATCCTGATTACAATCAAATAAACATGATGATACAATTTATTTTTTATAAGTTGATTGTTTAATCAACAAGAAACATTTTTCAATCATAATTCATAATTTGTGAATTAAAATACAAGTCAAAGGCTAAAAATTTTTCTCGATTCTTTTAGATAGAAAACCTTAATTGTTAACTGTAATTAACCGGATAATTATGATCGTTCGGGTAATCAACAAGCTAAAATATAAATATTACTCACGATAAGTTCAGAGATCATGGTGATTCAGGTGAAGTCTGAGTTTGTACTCAGATCAATTGATTTAAACGACCATGAACAATTAATGGCTTAATTATCAATTTTTAATCAATTTTATTACAATTAGTCAATCTAAACCTTTCATTGTATGATATTAAAAAGAAATTAGTTTTTAATTGAATCACTAAATTAATTGGTGGCAATTAAAGATATGATCAATTCGATAATGAAATATTGAGAATCAGTCTAATTATTAATAGTTAATTATTCAATTTCCTTGATATTTAAAAATTTAAAACTTTGATTATTTTAATCATTTGATACACAATTCGTGCAATTGTATCAATTTTTTGTTCAGTTTCGAGTTCAATCTGAAGTTTAAAGTTGTTAACAATGAACAGTTATCAAAATCAACTCTTTAATATTGATAATCAATCATCACAATCAACTAATCCACCTCAAGTTATATTCACATCAATCGGAACAAAATATTATTCAATCGTTTCAGTTTCAAATGGGTTAATTGGAAACAGTTTATTTCTGATAATAATATTGATAAAAGCTCTCGATGCTAAAATAACTTTGAAATTTAATGAATCAACGATGGAACCACAATTAACACTGGATTTGCCATTTCTATTGTACATCTTGATTGAAATTTTCACCACTTCAAAATTTCATTTCTATTTCACAATAAACTTCATCTCAACAATTAACTCATCATGGTTAAAGCTAATCGACCATCAGGGTCAACAATTTGTTAATTACTTACACAGTAATCGCAAAATTTACCAAACAATTATATTAATCTTCGCAGTTTTAATTCTTACAGCCATGCTAATCACTTACTCAATTTATTATACTGATCGTGATTATTATTTACTAGTTTCCAATTACAATGTAACAACAATTAACTCAACCAAAATGATTCAAATTAAATTAACCTATTATATAAAAATCTTACAAAGATTTAGTCTGTTAGTTAATTTCTTTCTAAATCAATTGATCATCGTTGATTGTTCATTAATCGCCCAAACTATTTATCATTTCATCAACATTCAAATCTCATCAATTGACATTGGACATTCAAATGATCACAATTTACTTGATCACATTAGATCAATTCGAGTAAAGTTCAATCGGTGCTACGATTTGGTTACTAAATTAAGGATATTCATGGATCCATGTTTACTACTTGGAGTCTTCATTTATTATACTTATTTTTTAAGCACCAACATTTATAAATGTGTATTCACATATGATAAATTAAGATATGGTATCATTCAGTTTGGTGTCATCGTTGAAACTGTCTTATCATTGGCGATAATGATTTATATCACATATCCAATTGTCGAAACTCATTGTCTATCTGTTCAATCATATTCAACGATTTACTCTTTATCGTTTAATGGTAAAGTTAGAAAATCGGACGAAATATTAAATGAGGTAATTATCTTATAATACTAAGATGTGTTCACTAGAATTTGACAAAAAGTTTGGGTCTTTTTTTTGCTTCTCTCTGATTGTTTACAATTGATTAAATTATATCAAATGAAAGTTCAGCTATTCATCTACATTCATGAAAAATTTGAAAAAATTCTGATGAAAGGTTTTTAAACAATTAAATTTTGAAAAAAAGTTCCCAAATTTTCGAAAATTTTTTATGTTATTCTCTATGAAAATTCTAGTGAACACATCTTATTTGACTTTCATTCACTTGTTTGTTTTTTACAATTATAAACAGATTACATTGTTGATTAATCGTATTGATAGAAAGGATCTTGGATTTTCTTGTGGTGGGTTTTTCATGATCACACCTGAATTCATAACTTCGGTGGTCACTATTATTTTCACCATTGTTATTGCGACTCCTTCGTTTGCTAATTAGAAACCAATGAACATCAAAATACTTTTATAATCAAGCAAAAGTTTCATTTTATAAGATTTTATTGATCTAAATTAACAGATATTAAATTTCATTCCATTTTGTAATAACATAACAATTTTACTGGATTTAGAATTTCAAATAAATTCACCAATTAAGATGTAAGAGTCTATAGATGATCAACAGTTATTAACAACAATCAACAACCAGAATAAAAATGTCCCAATTATAACAACTTTCTTAAGTTTAGAATTAAATTAATGATATTGTGCCAATTAAGGAGAAAACAATTGATTAGAATTTTCTGATTATTCGTTGATTAGACTGTGGATAGTTCCAATATTTATACCATCATTGGTCCAGAGTGGACACTTTTGTGGCCCAGAGATGGTCTTTTGTTAACTACTCAAACTTATTTAAGTTATTCATTAGTAAATCAATTGCTCTAGATAATATTGTTGTTGTAATCAATATTTCAAAAATATTTATGATTATCAATATTAGTAAATTATTCATTTAATTATTTCAGTTGTAAAATTTACTTGATATTTAAAAATTTAAAACTTTCATTTTTTCAATGTTTGGTTGTACAAAATTAGTATCAATTTTAGTGCAGTTTCAACTTAAGTTTAACCTGTTAACAATGAACAACTATCTGAGCCAAATATCTAATATTGTTAATCGATCGTCTAATCAAAACCAGTCATTTAGTATTGATAATCGATCACCACAATCAACTAATTCACCTCAAGTTATATTCTCATCAATCGGAACAAAATATTATTCAATCGTTTCAGTTTCAAATGGGTTAATTGGAAACAGTTTATTTCTGATCATGATGTTAATTGTAGCTCTTGATTCAAGAACTACTTTGAAATATAATGAATCAACGTTGGAACCACAATTAACATTGAATCTTCCAATGTTACTGTTTATCTCAATTGAAATCTATACGTTTATAATATTTCATTTCTATTTCACAAAACAATTCATCTCAACAATTAACGATCAATGGATAAAATTGACTGAAGGTCAACAAATCGTTAATTGTTTACTTCGCAAACGTAAAGTTTACGAAACAATCATAATTATTAATGCAGTTTTTGCTCTTGCAATCGATGCAGTTTCTTACTCTATTTATTATACTGATTACGATTATTATTTGATTGTTTTCGATTACAATTCAACAACAATTAACTCAACTAGAACGTCTCACATTGGGTTAGTCTTTTATATAAGAATAATTAGAAGATTAATTTTGATTGGTAACTTTTTTTTAAATGAATTGATCATCGTTGATTGTTCATTAATCGCCCAAACTGTTTATCATTTCATCAACATTCAAATCTCATCAATCGATAAACATTTGTATGATCACAATTTACTTGATCACATTAGAGCAATTCGATTGAAGTTTAATCAATGCTACGATTTGGTTACTAAATTAAGGATATTGATGGATCCATGTTTACTTGGAGTCTTCATTCAATATACTCATTTTTTAGCGAAAAACATTTATAATTGTATCTTTGAATATCATAACTTAAGCTTAAAAATGTTGCAATTTAATTTCATCACTGATACTATTTTATCATTTTCGACAATAATTTGTATGACTTATCCAATCGTTGAAACTCACTGTGTATCTGTTCAATCATATTCAAAGATTTACTCTTTATCATTTCATGATAAAATTAGTAAATCATTCGAACTATTAAATGAGGTAAGATTTTCATTAACTGTATTATCTTAACTGATTTTTATTCACTTGTTGGTCCTTTTTATGATTAGGTTACATTGTTTGCCAATCGTATCGATAGAAAGGATCTTGGATTTTCTTGTGGTGGGTTTTTCATGATCACACCTGAATTCATAACTTCGGTGGTCACTATTATTTTCACCATTGTTATTGCGACTCCTTCGTTTGCTAATTGAAAATCAATGGATATCTTAATGTTTACTAATAGTTGACAATAATATAATAACAACAACAAGAGAGAGAGAGAGAGAGAGACAGAATTTAATGTAACGAAAAAGTTTTTATTAGTCTAAATCAACAGCAATTAAACTTCATTTTATTTTGAAATAACATAACAATTGTACTGGTTTTAAATTTCAAATAAATTCACTCTTAATCACCAATTAAGATGTAACAATCAATAGATAATCTGATTAACAGTTAATAACAATCAACAACAAGAATAAATATGTAATAATTATAACGGTTTGCGTAAATTGTAAGTTAAATTGGAGAAACATTGTAACAATTAAGAGAAAAACAATTGATTAGAATTTCCTGGTGATTTGTTGATTAGATTGGGGATAAAATTCCAGTGTCTTTATCATCATTTTGATCTGAAGAGGACGAAAGAGCCTTGACGATCTTTGGATTATAAAGTTTAGGGTCAGAAACCATTCGAACAAAGAAACTCCGTCGATATTTGAGACTGGAATTGATCTTACGATCGAAGACAATAACTTCGTCATTCATTTCATCTTCCGTGTCTTTCTTTGTCTCTTCTTCTTCTTCATCCTCGTCATCATAATCATCATCTTCTTCTTCCTCAGCTTCATCTTTATCTTTATTTTTGTCTTTATTTTTGTCTTCATCTTTACTATGATCCTTTTCTTCACTGTCATTATTATTATTATTCTCGTCGTCTTCAATTAATCCTAAGGATTTGTTAATTGTCTCAACTGTAGTTGATTTAGACAAATTGTTAGTATGATCATTGTGGTTGTTGGAATTGTTGATTCTATTTTCATCTAATTGTTTCAATGATGAAATTGAATTCGATGTCGATAATGAAGATAAAGTTGATTCTTGTTTCGAGAGAGACTTTTGTTTCTCTACTCCTCCTCCTCCTCCTCCTCCGGTTCCATGAGATATTGAGTGTTGACGATGACGATGTGAGTGAGAACGAGAGTGTGAATGAGATGCTTCTGATTCTGATTCAATGATTCTCAATAAATTTGACGAAAATTGTGAAATTATCTCATAAGATGAATTAATATCTTCTTCAGTTGCATGTTGAGAGCAGACACAAAATCGTATCACGTATTTATTTCCTAAATTAGCAGGAACCATGTGCATCTCACCCGAAGCATTGATCGATGATAATAACTTTTTATTCAATGTATCCGATCCCTGAGTGAATCAAACAAAGTGATTACAATTAATCAAAGTACCGAGAAACTGAGTGACCAAAACTCACCTTTAATCGGAAACAAACAAGACCGAAAATAACTTGATTCATGATCTCGAATCTTTCATCTTGTCTCATTAGATTTTCAAACTTCTTGGCCAATCGAACATGCTAATTGTTCAAGTTTAACACCACAAAAGGTCAAATGGTTAACAATTAGTTTATTTCTACTCATTACTACCAATCTACTAATTAGAAAGCTTGAAATACTTACATTTCGAATATACTTTTGTAATCCTTCAATTCCATAATTACGAACAACAAACCATAACTTCAATGAACGAAATCGTCGACTCAAAGGTATTCCCCAGTGCTGATTGTTTGTTTCAAGAGACAACAATTACTTTCAATTGTTTCATTAATTGTTAATAACTTACTCGATAATCAATTGCTTTATCTGAATAACTGTGTTGTAAATACAAAGGATCAACAACCAAAGCTTGGGTCAATTTGAATCTATCAGTTACCCTGATGGTCAATAGAAAATTAATTTATGAAAAATATTAATAATAATATGAATGATTTGTGATAAAAATTTATAATTACCATAATAATGAACAATCAAAATTGATCAACATCCATTTATTTGGATTCATATTAAAAGATGAAGCGAGCTAATGAAATGAAATTATATTCAACCAATCAAATATTAGTTTTAATTGTTTCTTATTCTTATTTATATTTATTTTATATTTCTAAATAATATTCACCTCGACTCCTTTTAGTAGATATTGAAATTCTGGACAAATCAATGAGCTTCCTCCATAAGCAGCATCCACATGTAACCAGATTCCGTATTTCTGACAAACTACACCAACTGAATCAATTGGATCAACCGAACAACAAGAAGTCGATCCCAATGTGATACAAGCCCAAAAAGGAATCAAACCTTGACTTTTGTCTTCGACAATCGATCGTTCAAGTAGATCAGGTCTCATTCGAAATTGATCATCAGTGTCCAATATTCGTAGTTTAACAAATCCAATCATCGCCGCTTTCTCGACAGACGAATGAGCCTCTTTCGAGCAATAAGCAATCAGTTTACCAAGAATATCGGTGTCTTTAACATAAGGCTCTTGTTTCTTTGCTTGTTTAACTGCTTCGTAACGAGCGGCTAAAAGAGTCACCAAAATACATTCAGATGCTGATCCCTATTGAGAGATTATCAGTATTCATTCATTAGATTGTTACACGTTTTATCAAGACAATCAGTTAATCAGTTGATCAGTTGATCATTTAATCAATTACCTCAATTACTCCTCCACCTTTACTATTTTCAGCAAAGCAAAGAAACTTTTCTGGAAGCCCAATGGCCTTTCCCATCCAATCCAACATGATTGTCTCAAGTTCAGTACATGAAGGTGAAGCTGCCTAATAATATGAATCGACAAATATGTTAACCTCTATCACTATCCTCTTCCTGTAAGAAAGAGTAAGAATCTTACCCATGAGAATCCAATACATGAGATCGCATCAGTCAACATATCAGCAAGAATTGACGGATAACTATTTCCTGCAGGAAAATAAGCATTAAATCTCGGGTGTTGCCAATGAGTAATTCCAGGCATAATTAAGGAATTAAAATCATCCATAATTTTATCCCATTTTTCACCTTTTAATGGAGCATCAGTAGGTAATTGTGGAGACAAATAACCAGGCTCAACATTCGGAGTCACTCGCAATTTATCAATTGTATCCAGATAATTAGCGATATAATCAACCATCTCTTTACCAACGATTCTCCATTCACAGGAATCCATTCCAAACTATTCCACAATTCATTAGTTATTCATAGTTTTCATAAATTCCATCATTACTAGTCAATGATTACTCATCAATGATCGTTAATTACTCACCTTTTGATCGGATGATGGACAACATTTAGAGAAATTTAATTCTCTTTCTCTTTCTCTTTCTGCTCCTTCTTCGTCTCCATCCTCTTCTTGTTCGTCTTCTTGATTGTTACCAAATTGTGATACAGAATCACACTGATCAATTTCATCTTCATCTTCATCTTCATCATTTTTTCCATTTCCATTTCCATTTCTGTTTCTATTCTTAGAACCACAATTATCTCCATAAATTATTGTATTATCTTCATTAATCTTTATCTTTGTAACTCTTTTACCCTTTGATTTTTTATCTTCAACTTTAATCCAACTTGAATCAGAACCACAATCACTTTGATTACTTTTAATTAAACTTCCATTTAATTTACACGAACAAACACAATTTTCATCATGATGATTCATCTTATTACTATTATTCTGATTACCTGTTGATCTAAATATATCACCGATTAAATTACTTAAAGTTGATGAAATTTTTCGAGATCTTTCACTTTCACTTTTACTTTTACTTTTATCTTTGATATTATCACTTTTTATCAATTTACTATAACAATTAACTACTACTGATGAGGTTGTTAATGGTTTGGATGAACATGATGATGATTCAGATGTAGTAACAATTAATTGTTTCTTTAAATCACTTTTAATATTTTCCTTTTGGATTGTCGATTCTTTTAATAACAAACTTTCATCAATCAATTCATCCGTTGATTGTTGTTGTTGTTGATTTAATAGTTCATTTAGACTCGATTTACTATTGAATAAATAATAACAACAATTTCCAAATAATCTTGAATAACACATTAACCAATCACCTTATTTATATGTAAATCAATAAATTTATCATTCAAATTACATGATGATTATGATGAAAAGTCAAAATATCACGACCATCGTCACTATCATAATCATAATCATCATCAACTAATCAACTAAAACATCAACAATTAAAAGGTAAATATAATATTAGACAAAGGTAATTGTAAGGTTTTAACTTTACTCTGAATGGGAATAAAAAAGTTCCTCTTTGTAAAAACTGATCTTGAAAGAGTCAAAATAATTTTTGTTTATCAATAGTATAAAAAAAACTGATCATCATCATCATCATGATAAAGAAGATGAAGATTATGATGAGAGATGATGACAAATAAAAGGATAAATACCATAGGCTTGACATTCCAAACACGATATAAATAAAATGATCCAACACTTATAATCTATTGTTATCTATTAACCTGCACAACCTCCCACTCCACCTCCCAGCATATTTACCCTCCCACCTTCCCCATCATGATATCATTCAGCATCCTCATCCTCATCCTCGTCATCATCATAATCATCATAATCATCTTCGTCTTTAATAATACATTGCTATTCAATATATAAGCTTGAGCAATCTATTTGATTGTCCCATTGATCCAGTTGGTGACATTGGCAAAAAAACGTTTCATCATAATTTAAACTGATTCTTAACTGTTAATGATTATTTAAAATCTAATAAAATTGATTGATTGGTTAATAGTGACCAAGTTACATTATCAAGTAATTTATTTACTTTTACGAAATGATTAAAGATATTTATTAGATGTTTGATTTGAGGAATATAAAATTAATTGATTGAGGTGATTAACATCCCAATTTGATAATTAATAACAGTTTTTTTCACAACTTGATTGGCTGATTATCAAACTAATTGTAGTTTTTTCAATTTGATGGAATTCAGAAAATTAAATATCAAAATTCAGCTGAGAATTTGAAACTTTGCTTGTTGTCTCTCATCATAGAGTAAAAAATTGAGGTTAAAATATTAATTATCTCATATTGTCATCATTTATTAAATCATCGTCATCCCTTTGATCATCTTCCTGCTCATTGCTTAATTGTTCAATCAAATTGAATCCTAACAAATAATTATGTTGATTATCAATTTTGATTATTCACTTTTATGGTAACCCAAATAATAAATGTGAAAACAACAACAACAAATTCAGTCTATCCTCTAATTAATCAATTAATTGTTTATGATGAGGTAAAAGTTGTTGATGATGAAGATAATGTCAAGGGTTGACTAGATGTTGATGGACTCGGGATTGGATAACATCCTTTGGTAAAGTAAAGGTCATCGATAGCCAGGGTTGAGTTTTGCTCTCCCTTGACCATTGCCACAAGGAACAGGTATTCACCAGGTGAGCCGAGGTCAATTTCGACTTCGACTCGAGTAAATAAAGATTTCTCCCATTCCAAATGAACAACTTCGATAGTAGAAAATGGATTAAGTGAAGATGAATTTTCACTTGACCTAATTAATACTTGACCAGAGTGACTATTGGTCAAATAGTAAAATATTAATTTACAATAACCTCCAATGGGCATTAAAGTGCCAATTGAGCCGATACTTTTTCTTGATTTACTTTTTGCTTTGAGTATTAGATAGTGACCACTAGAAGTGCCTAGTGTGTGGTCAAATGTTGGCCCATCGGTCAGTGAATTAGAGGAAATTGTCCTAATTAAACCTTGAGAATCATTTTGTGAACAATTTTTCCATGGGCAGAATTCATTGGTTGATTTAATAACCATCGGTTTCCATGAGCAATAATCATCTTCAAATGAACATCTCAGACTGGAAATTGATTGTGAATTATTGTTAATTGTATTAGAATCATTATCATCATCATTTGCGATCAAATTTGAATCAACACTCGATGAAGAGTCACAATTAATTTCATCACTTGAATCAGGACAATTAATCTCATAGTCACAAACTTCATCTCGATGAATACAAAGACCTCCGGTTGAACAATTAAATGAAAGGTTTGGATTGAAGGTACAAGAAACTTCATTGTGACTTCCATTGGTCAAGCAGGAAAGTACTGGACATGGTTGATAAGTATGCCAACAAAGGTCAACCTCAAGTCGTTTGATTAATTGTGGACTAGATTGTTGAGAGAAGTAAGAAAAAAAATTGTTAACAATTAAGAAATATTAACGATTTGACCAGTTGATGACCAAGTACAAAGGACACAATTGAATATCAAATATGTAAACTTAATTAACTTTTGAGTGATGATATGGTGGTAAATGTTGGACAACAATTAATCTTGTTTCTGTTGAATTGTAAGTTTAATTTTCTTGTCCCAAATACAATATGAATGACCACTAGATCTATATAAACATGGACAATGGTCACTCTTAAGGTTCACAGTGACAAGAGATGTACTTGAATGAGAAATCATCTGTTGATCATCAAGTTAATATAAGTGATACCTGTGGTTTGTTTGACAACAATCAAGTGGTAAACTTGATAATTTAAACAATTGAATCTCTATTACCAATTAACTGTGGTCAAGAGATGGACACAGAATCAAAACAATAATCAGTAAAAATGATTCAAGACAATCAATGGTCAACAGGAACAGTGAGAAATAAAAATCAATTACAAATAATAAGACTCAAAATCAACAACAATTAAACTGTTTCTGATGATCAACTAGAATATCAACTAGACATTGATTAGGTTGATTGTTGATTTCAATCAGCAATTAGTTGAACAATCAGATAAATCAATGACAGACCACAGTTCCAATTGTAAAGGTTATCAAAGGTCTAATTGTTTAGAGTTAAAATTAACAACTTACACATAATTAAGGGGTTGATTTGATTGGAAATTGATAATTAGTCGGAATAAATTATTCCTAATTAATGGTAAATCAATTGAGTATTCCCTTGAAAAAAGATTCAATTTCTCATTTGAATCCATCCATAGTTGAATTGCTGGTGAACCTTCAACTTGATACCAAACAATTAACTTATTAACTGTATATCCATTGACTATTACACCATAATTAGTTTCCAATTGAATGTTACACTTTAAATTGTCACCAGTTAACCAGGAAGTTGTGTAATTAATTTGATTTGAAGGGATTGTTGAATTGGTCCAATCGTTGATTAAGTTAATTTTATTTTCACTTGAAGTTGACAATTCAATAATTTGTTGATTTGATGATAAAACAATGGACACAATTAAATTCAATTGTAATCCAATTGTGACCAGTAACAAAATCACATTGATTAATAACATAGTTAATTGTTGAAATGAAAAAATCTATCAAAGAAAATAATTAGTTAATATTAATGATTTTCAAAACAAACTTGATTAATATGTAATTCTTGTTGATTGTAATTAGTATGATTGATGAATTGACAATTTATGAGAGTTAAATGATTTACAATTAACGACAGGATAGTTAATCAGTTACAATTGTTGTTAATCAGAAATTGAAAACAACAACACTAATGATCACAATTAAATAATTACAATTTGTTGGAAACGTAAATTGTTTATTGTTGATTAACTACTTAAATCAAATCAATTAACTATCACAATGATTATATTTTTAATCAAATTTTTACCTTGGCAGTGGTTACACTTTAAGAGGTAGTTAATCAACATTAATTAATCACAATTAGCTCATCTTCACAGTTTCCGTGATTCAAATTGTGATTAAATTGATAAATAAAACAGTTAATTGTAACTTGGCAACTAAATCAATAAATTGTTGTCAAATGAATGAGGAAAAAAAAACTTAGTAAGCAAAAGTAATAAAACAATTTAATCACTCAAATTGAAGTAAATTAAAAGTATAACAATTAAATTAGATCAGTAACCTGAAATTACCTTAAACAACAACAACAATCAGTAAATTTCATAATCACAATATGTTAATCATTTAAACCAATAATCAAGTAAACAATTAATTGGTCACCCATTTAAAACTAAATCAAATTTGATTATCCATACAAACAGACAATCAGCAAACAATTAATACAGAATTGCAGACAAACCAATAAATCATAACCAGATTAAACAGCTATTAACATCAATAAACAGTTCGCAAATGTAATTAACTAATTGTGATGAATGGATTAATTGGGTTAGGATTAAATTAGATTGTAAATTTGTCCTCGGAAAAGTAAAATATCATCAAAAGAATCAATTAGATGATGAAAAATGATTGGAATGAAAAATTATGATAATTTTGCCTGGAAAATGAATTCTCCAACTCGAAAGGCTCGAATTCTGCTTTTTTAATTGAAACCTATGAGGATCATTTCCATTGATAATAACGAGATGATCATGATGAGGTTGATATAGAGAGAGAGGGATAAAGATGATGATGCAGGTTAATGGATAACAAAAGATGAGGATGAAAATGATGATGAGTGGCTGGTCTATTATTTATATTCTGTAAGGAATGTCAACCTATTATTATTATTATTATATTCTCTTCTTTATTATTATTATCATCACCTCCCATCACCGATCATCATCATCATCTCCATCTCTCATCATAATCTTCATCTTCTTTATCATGATGATGATCAGTTTTTTTATACTATTGATAAACAAAAATTATTTTGACTCTTTCAAGATCAGTTTTTACAAAGAGGAACTTTTTTATTCCCATTCAGAGTAAAGTTAAAACCTTACAATTACCTTTTAATTGTTGATGTTTTAGTTGATTAGTTGATTGGTTGATGATGATTATGATTATGATAGTGACGATGGTCGTGATATTTTGACTTTTCATTATAATCATCATGTAATTTGAATGATAAATTGATTGATTTACATATAAATAAGGTGATTGGTTAATGTGTTATTCAAGATTATTTGGAAATTGTTGTTATTATTTATTCAATAGTAAATCGAGTCTAAATGAACTATTAAATCAACAACAACAACAATCAACGGATGAATTGATTGATGAAAGTTTGTTATTAAAAGAATCGACAATCCAAAAGGAAAATATTAAAAGTGATTTAAAGAAACAATTAATTGTTACTACATCCGAATCCGCATCCGCATCATCATCATCATATTCATCCAAACCATTAACAACCTCATCAGTAGTAGTTAATTGTTATAGTAAATTGATAAAAAGTGATAATATCAAAGATAAAAGTAAAAGTAAAAGTGAAAGTGAAAGATCTCGAAAAATTTCATCAACTTTAAGTAATTTAATCGGTGATATATTTAGATCAACAGGTAATCAGAATAATAGTAATAAGATGAATCATCATGATGAAAATTGTGTTTGTTCGTGTAAATTAAATGGAAGTTTAATTAAAAGTAATCAAAGTGATTGTGGTTCTGATTCAAGTTGGATTAAAGTTGAAGATAAAAAATCAAAGGGTAAAAGAGTTACAAAGATAAAGATTAATGAAGATAATACAATAATTTATGGAGATAATTGTGGTTCTAAGAATAGAAACAGAAATGGAAATGGAAATGGAAAAAATGATGAAGATGAAGATGAAGATGAAATTGATCAGTGTGATTCTGTATCACAATTTGGTAACAATCAAGACGACGAACAAGAAGAGGATCGAGACGAAGAAGGAGCAGAAAGAGAAAGAGAAAGAGAATTAAATTTCTCTAAATGTTGTCCATTATCCGATCAAAAGGTGAGTAATTAACGATCATTGATTAGTAATCATTGACTAGTAATGATGGAATTGATGAAAACTATGAATAACTAATGAATTGTGGATTAGTTTGGAATGGATTCCTGTGAATGGAGAATCGTTGGTAAAGAGATGGTTGATTATATCGCTAATTATCTGGATACAATTGATAAATTGCGAGTGACTCCGAATGTTGAGCCTGGTTATTTGTCTCCACAATTACCTACTGATGCTCCATTAAAAGGTGAAAAATGGGATAAAATTATGGATGATTTTAATTCCTTAATTATGCCTGGAATTACTCATTGGCAACACCCGAGATTTAATGCTTATTTTCCTGCAGGAAATAGTTATCCGTCAATTCTTGCTGATATGTTGACTGATGCGATCTCATGTATTGGATTCTCATGGGTAAGATTGTTACTCTTTCTCACAGGAAGAGGATAGTGATCGTGATAGAGGTTAACATATTTGTCGATTCATATTCTTAGGCAGCTTCACCTTCATGTACTGAACTTGAGACAATCATGTTGGATTGGATGGGAAAGGCCATTGGGCTTCCAGAAAAGTTTCTTTGCTTTGCTGAAAATAGTAAAGGTGGAGGAGTAATTGAGGTAATTGATTAAATGATCAACTGATCAACTGATTAACTGATTGTCTTGATAAAACGTGTAACAATCTAATGAATGAATACTGATAATCTCTCAATAGGGATCAGCATCTGAATGTATTTTGGTGACTCTTTTAGCCGCTCGTTACGAAGCAGTTAAACAAGCAAAGAAACAAGAGCCTAATGTTAAAGACACCGATATTCTTGGTAAACTGATTGCTTATTGCTCGAAAGAGGCTCATTCGTCTGTCGAGAAAGCGGCGATGATTGGATTTGTTAAACTACGAATATTAGACACTGATGATCAATTTCGAATGAGACCTGATCTACTTGAACGATCGATTGTCGAAGACAAAAGTCAAGGTTTGATTCCTTTTTGGGCTTGTATCACATTGGGATCGACTTCTTGTTGTTCGGTTGATCCAATTGATTCAGTTGGTGTAGTTTGTCAGAAATACGGAATCTGGTTACATGTGGATGCTGCTTATGGAGGAAGCTCATTGATTTGTCCAGAATTTCAATATCTTCTAAAAGGAGTCGAGGTGAATATTATTTAGAAATACAAAATAAATATAAATAAGAATAAGAAACAATTAAACTAATATTTGATTGGTTGGATATAATTTCATTTCATTAGCTCGCTTCATCTTTTAATATGAATCCAAATAAATGGATGTTGATCAATTTTGATTGTTCATTATTATGGTAATTATAAATTTTTATCACAAATCATTCATATTATTATTAATATTTCTCATAAATTAATCTTCTATTGACCATCAGGGTAACTGATAGATTCAAATTGACTCAAGCTTTGGTTGTTGATCCTTTGTATTTACAACACAGTTATTCAGATAAAGCAATTGATTATCGAGTAAGTTATTAACAATTAATGAAACAATTGAAAGTAATTGTTGTCTCTTGAAACAAACAATCAGCACTGGGGAATACCTTTGAGTCGACGATTTCGTTCATTGAAGTTATGGTTTGTTGTTCGTAATTATGGAATTGAAGGATTACAAAAGTATATTCGAAATGTAAGTATTTCAAGCTTTCTAATTAGTAGATTGGTAGTAATGAGTAGAAATAAACTAATTGTTAACCATTTGACCTTTTGTGGTGTTAAACTTGAACAATTAGCATGTTCGATTGGCCAAGAAGTTTGAAAATCTAATGAGACAAGATGAAAGATTCGAGATCATGAATCAAGTTATTTTCGGTCTTGTTTGTTTCCGATTAAAGGTGAGTCTTGGTCACTCAGTTTCTCGGTACTTTGATTAATTGTGAACACTTTTTTTGATTAACTCAGGGATCTGATACATTGAATAAAAAGTTATTATCATCGATCAATGCTTCGGGTGAGATGCACATGGTTCCTGCTAATTTAGGAAATAAATACGTGATACGATTTTGTGTCTGCTCTCAACATGCAACTGAAGAAGATATTAATTCATCTTATGAGATAATTTCACAATTTTCGTCAAATTTATTGAGAATCATTGAATCAGAATCAGAAGCATCTCATTCACACTCTCGTTCTCACTCACATCGTCATCGTCAACACTCAATATCTCATGGAACCGGAGGAGGAGGAGGAGGAGTAGAGAAACAAAAGTCTCTCTCGAAACAAGAATCAACTTTATCTTCATTATCGACATCGAATTCAATTTCATCATTGAAACAATTAGATGAAAATAGAATCAACAATTCCAACAACCACAATGATCATACTAACAATTTGTCTAAATCAACTACAGTTGAGACAATTAACAAATCCTTAGGATTAATTGAAGACGACGAGAATAATAATAATGACAGTGAAGAAAAGGATAATAGTAAAGATGAAGACAAAAATAAAGATAAAGATGAAGCTGAGGAAGAAGAAGATGATGATTATGATGACGAGGATGATGAAGAAGAAGAGACAAAGAAAGATACGGAAGATGAAATGAATGACGAAGTTATTGTCTTCGATCGTAAGATCAATTCCAGTCTCAAATATCGACGGAGTTTCTTTGTTCGAATGGTTTCTGACCCTAAACTTTATAATCCAAAGATCGTCAAGGCTCTTTCATCCTCTTCAGATCAAAATGATGATAAAGACACTGGAATTTTATCCCCAATTTAATCAACAAATCACCAGGAAATTCTAATCAATTGTTTTTCTCTTAATCGTTACAATGTTTCTCCAATTTAACTCACAATTTACGCAAACCGTTATAATTATTACATATTTATTCTTGTTGTTGATTGTTATTAACTGTTAATCAGATTATCTATTGATTGTTACATCTTAATTGGTGATTAAGAGTGAATTTATTTGAAATTTAAAACCAGTACAATTGTTATGTTATTTCAAAATAAAATGAAGTTTAATTGCTGTTGATTTAGACTAATAAAAACTTTTTCGTTACATTAAATTCTCTCTCTCTCTCTCTCTCTCTCTCTTGTTGTTGTTATTATATTATTGACAGCTATTAGTAAACATTGAGATATCCATTGATTTTCAATTAGCAAACGAAGGAGTCGCAATAACAATGGTGAAAATAATAGTGACCACCGAAGTTATGAATTCAGGTGTTATCATGAAAAACCCACCACAAGAAAATCCGAGATCCTTTCTATCGATACGATTGGTAAAAAATGTAACCTAATCACAAAAAGGACCAACAAGTGAATAAAAATCAGTTAAGATAATACAGTTAATGAAAATCTTACCTCATTTAATAGTTCGAATGATTTACTAATTTTATCATGAAATGATAAAGAGTAAATCTTTGAATATGATTGAACAGATACACAGTGAGTTGCGACAATCGGATAAGCGACATAAAACATTGTCACCAATGATGAAATAAAAGCGCAGATGAAATTAAATTGCAACATTTTCAAGCCTAAATTGTTATATTCAAATATGCTCATATAAGTTTCAAAGGCTAAAAAATGAGTATATTGAATGAAGACTCCAAGTAAACATGGATCCATTAATATCCTTAATTTAGTAACCAAATCGTAGCATTGATTAAACTTCAATCGAATTGCTCTAATGTGATCAAGTAAATTGTGATAAACAGTAACATTGGAAGGTTCAATGTTAATTGTGGTTCCATCGTTGATTCATTATATTTCAAAGTAGTTCTAGAATCAAGAGCTACAATTAACATCATGATCAGAAATAAACTGTTACCAATTAGACCATTTGAAACTGAAACAATTGAATAATATTTTGTTCCGATTGATGAGAATATAACTTGAGATGTATTAGTTGATTGTGGTGATCGATTATCAATATTAAAGAGTTGATTTTGATAACTGTTCATTGTTAACTTAAGAATTCAAATTCAGAATTACCTTGGCTCTGAATTTAACTAAAGTTAATACGAATTTTGTACAACCAAATAATTAAAATAATGAAAGTTATAAATTTTTAAATGTAAAAAAATGAATAATTATTATTTAATCATGTCAATTCTTAATATTTCAGTATCATATTGATCATAACAATGCTATTATTTAGAGCGGTTGATTTGATAAAAAACTTGACCTACAGAGAAAACTTCGTACAAATATTAATAGTTATCAAAATTGAACAAGTTCGTAAAAAGTAAAAGGTCATTTAGGTCATTTCTTAAGGTAGACATTTAGAGGTCATTCGAAGGTTTTTGAAAAGACAAATATCAAATGGTTCCATCATCGAAGTATGGATTCAAAACTGAAAACAATTAGCAGTTCAGCACAATTTGTGTTGATTTTACTATTGAAACTGATGGATAAACTTCCCGTCTGAACCGGAACTTAGAAAGGTTCGTATATTTTTGTACCTAATATGTACACCTTTGTATCTAATAGAACTATGAGAATTTGAGATTCATGACGAAGAGAAAAAAATTCAAATGGTTATTGGTGACGAAAATCTGATCAATTGATTAATCCAAATATTGTCAAGGTTCTTTCATCGTCTTCAGATCAGAATGATGATCAAAACATTGGAATTTTATCCCCAATCTAATCAACGAGTCACCGAGAAATTCTGATTAATTGTTTTTCTCTTAATTGTTATAATATCATTAATTTAATTCTGAAGTTATGAAAAACGTTTCAATTGTTACAAATTCATTTTTGTTATTAATTGTTAATCAGATCATCTATTGATTGTTACACCTTAGTTGGGGATTGAGAGTTAATTAATTTGAAATTTAAAATTCAATATAATTGTTATTGTTATTATTATAAAATGAAATGAACATTAATTGCTGTTAATTTAGATTAATAAAAGCTTTAATTTTCTTGTTATATTCAACAATTAACTTAATCTTTTTGTCTAATCGCTGGATTAAAAATTCAAAACTAATAAGCTTAAAAGATTAACCGATGTATATTGTTGACAGTTAATCTTTAATTACCACAATTACTCAAATCAAAGCAATCTAATCAATTATTAAAATGATAGACGAAAAAAAAAAATCAATTATTCAACAATTATTACAACGAAACTATTAAAACCAAATGTTTACAATCAGTTCATTGATTAAATCAACAAGTTCACCTTCATTGACAATTCAAGTTGATTGGTTGCTAGAATCAAATTCAATTTAAAAGGAACCAACAATCAAACATGAAACAAAAAAATGAAACTAAATCAGAGCAGCAACTAAAAAATCAACATTAACAAACTAAATTATCATAATGTAAATCTTAAACCAAGAAAACAAGGATTCTAATTGTTTACAATTAGTGATAATCATCATAAATATTATGATTAAAATAAACACAAAGTAACCATTGATTTTGAATGTTAATAATAAAACATACGAGTCACTTAATTGTTTACTTTTCCTCGGATTTACCTCGCCCTTGCAAACAGAATCAACAATTTGTCTTCCATAATCATCATCATGATAATCATCATTTTCCCACCTCGTCTTTACCACCGTGAGGTTTTTCATCACAATTATAATCTAATTGCCCCGGAAAAAGGCTCTTGATAACAAGTAACCATAGTGAACTTCATGTTATCGGTTCTCAAAGAAAACCTTAGAAAATGAAGATTTTCATCCTCATCCTTCATCTTCTCTTTCTTTCCTTTCTCTCTCTTGCCTCCCTCTCCCTCGAACTGGGCTGTCTAAACCGTTCTTATCATCCAGAGTGATTAGTTGATTATTTGGATGAGTAATAAATGATTAATTTGTTGTTCTGTTTCTTCAACAACCTTAAGGTGATGATCATCGTCTCCTTTTGATTGATTGTGCTAATTGTCTTGGTGATTTAGCTCTAATTAAGTGAATCTTACCTTTTTTTAACTCTCTCTCTCTCTCTCTTTCTTTTCGTCCTTTGGACATTTAGATGGACCTTCGATAGTAAAGAGAAAGATTTAATTTCGTCTAACTCAACTTTCAATTTGACTTTTACCTTAAATGATATTTACCTTTTCCAATTTGTTTTCATCTCTCATTTGATTGATTAGCTATTATAACGATCAATTAATCATCATAGTTAATCATCATTCAATTGAGGATACATTCATTCAATTGTAAACTAACATCCTCATCGCTGCTTAATTTTGCTTGACCATTAGAATCAGTATTTTGTATGAAACAAAAAAAAATAATTCATTGTCCAAGAAATTAGTCCATGATGATTACACAATTTAACTTGTTGATTAAAGTTTTCTGTCTACTTTACCTGTTACCTGTTGGTCAGAGTAAAATAATTGACCAAGTGTATGAACGATGTAATCGTCCAGTTTCAAGTCGACTTGATCTTGAGTGTATCGGCTTTCCCAAAACATCATCGGACTGTTTATCCCGCCGTGCGTGTGATATGATCACCATGTTAACTGTTATTCCCTCCGCCGATGGGAATCATTTTCATGATAAATTCAACGTCACCCTGGTCGGTACTCACCTGAGAGATGCTTCCAAACACGAAATGTCACTAATTTTGGATGCGGCATTTAAACCAACTTACCATCCAGGCGAAGGTACTTATTACAATTGTAGTTGGTCCCAACGAGATCCAACAATTGAAGTGATGGTCAAAAATCCAGGTCAAATTGTAGAAAGTCTTGGAACGGGAATAATTGACGATGATCTACTTATCTGTACCTGGACATTAGATCGTCGATCAGATTCATGGCCAACCGATCATGAGGGACGTAAAATTGACCTGGTCACTCGTAAAATTGAGCTAATACTTTACAAAGATTTTTCCAGATCATCTTTAATTGATACTCGTCTTCCCATCTACAAGTCCCGTTATCTTTATAAAGATTGTAATTCACCCGATATAAAGTATTGCCTTGGGTCACCTTATTGTGTTGACCCTTACAATGAATGTCATGAGTTATTGACCATCGTTCAAACACCCAAGAAAATTGGTCAATCAAATTCACTTGATTTTAATTTATTCTCATTTGATTATGTTACCAACAATTCCTATTACGATGTTACCCTTTACACCTCGGATACTTCACCGAGTTTCCAAATTATCTGTGGTAAATACTCAGTTGAAGCTTATTTCATCTTCCCTAATGGAAGTCAGGAATCGGTTTCCACCCTCACCTCAACTTATACCCACATTGATCCCGATTTTGATGGACTCCGATGTAACTGGACACTACCGGCCACTTTTACCCTGAACGGAATAACTTTTGACACCCAACGAAACAAATATCTGGTTAAACTAAGACATTCACCCAATGTTTATGTTGATAAAGTTCCGGTGGCACTTCCTGGTTTCCATATTGACGATTCTTTGTACACCGCTTGTTCAAGCGGTTCCCTTGGTCGACAATGTTTCGGCCTTGATATCGATGATACGGTGAGAGACTGTCTACCCACACGGAATTGTGATGCTTTCGTCGTGTTCACGGTGGACGATGATTCAACTTGGTCATCATCTTTTATCGAACCCAAAATAACGCTTGACCTTTACGCTACCAAGAAATTGGTCAGTCCACCTTCATCGTCCGAACCATCAAGATTAACTACCCTTGGATTAACCCAAGGGATTAACATGAGTCTTTCTATTTCATTTGATTCAAATAACGTTGACCTGGACGGGAAAACGGTCTACAAGTGTTCATTCAATAACGATGGACGGAAATCATCATCGATCGATGTTCCGTTCAAGACCAAAGCGATCAGAAATGGCCTCGTCTCAAGTGAACACGATTGGATTCGCTGTCAGTGGATTTGGTGGCCTAACGGTACTAATTGGCCGATAAACAATAAAAGTAAGTTCTAATTACACAATTAATCAACAACAATTAAACTCACCTTTCAAAATGGTTACTTTTTGATTTATCTGAAACTTTTTTTTCTCTTTCTAATCAAAGCGAAAGTGATTTAATTGTAAATCGTTTTTGCTTTTAAATGGTTAATTTATTATTGTTGTTAATTACTCTTCCTATTATCACTCTTTCTATGTGATTAATTAACCTTGACCTGAACTAATTACAATTAACCTGATTGCTAAACTATCGTAATGTTGCGGAAAAACAGAATCACAAACCTAATCGGATTGGATTGATTAATTAACAATTTAACCGATCAAATGAAATATTGATATTACAGAAAAACAAAGTAACATTAAATTGTTAATCATAATTAATCTTGATTACATATACACTTAATCATACAATCAATATAATTAATCCAGTAAAATTGGAAACAAATTGTCAAGATGAGATTAGTTGGTTTCTTATTTGATTATGATAAAAAATGTTGATTCTTGAAACAATCAAGATTAAATATGAGTGAATATTAATCACAATTTATCTTAATTGTTGGATGATTACAATTTTAAATGTTAATTGTCACTAGTTAATCACATGTTAAGATCAATGGTCAACAAATGAAAGGAAATTGTCAACAATATTTACCTTTTGAAAATCACTTTGACTTTAAGTTTCGCTCTCTCCTTTAATCAACAAGTAAACAATTAAATTAAACATAAATTGATTGTTGTATTTACTTTACGATTTATTTATATTTTTCTCTCTCTCTCTAGGTGATGTAATTGACCTTGTTAATCGACGGCCATCGATAGGATTTTCAATCGGCGGGGTGAGGAAAGTTGTACCTGAGAAAAGTGTCACTTTGCCGATCTACAAGTTGCGATATTTGTACCAAGAGTGCGACAATAAACACGGAGGCCAGGAAAATGTTTGTCTCGAAAGTGACCCTGGTTGTTTGGTGAACGCTGATTGTGCCACATTGATCCATATGCGAGAGCACTCAGGTCGGGAAGGAATCGACGTTCAAGTATTTTTAACGCAAGATTTTGACAAACTAGAATTAGTTTACATTGATCCAGAAGAAAACTCGATTAAAATTGATTGTTACAATGAACGATCACCGCCGGTTGAAGGATCAATGATTACAAGTTATTACAAATTGGCTAAATCAGATTCTTACCAATCAATTAATTCCGGTGATCAGTTGATCAAATACAATGAGGCTCGTTCATTTACCATGGGATTTTCAAGATGCTTCTGGTTACAGGAGAAACAATTTCAACTCGGACGAATGACAATTAACTCGGAGGTTAATCGTTACAATGTCCGACTTTCGGTAATCAATGATGAAGGTTTAATTGCTCGTTATTCTTGGGATAAAGTTGCTTTTGTTGGTTTTCGTGGTAAAGATAAACAATCAGTACCTTCATCGTCACCATCAATTAAAACAAATTGCTGGTTAACTACTCTAGTCTTTGTTAGCCTTAGTTACTATTATTATCATCACAATTTTGTATCTCACAACAATTAAAACTAATTTTTTTTCTTCTTCCTCTCTTTCTAATAGTAAACAATAAAAATTAACACACTTTCATACAAAATCAATTACATCTAGAGCTTTAAACAATCAACAGAACATTTTGTTTTCATACTTTGTCTTTGTACTAATAAAAAACAAAAATCATCAATTGATTTAAAATTTTGTTTCTGTTTTAAAATCAAGCAATATATTAACTACAAAACTTTGTTTTTCGATGATTAGTTGAATGAATTTTCGAAGGTGATTTTTAAAATTATTAGTTGATTGTTGCGACTAGTAGAGTTCACCGATTGGTGCTTTTTCTAACCAAATTGAGTGCATTTCTCCGTAAAGAGTTTCGGTGACTGAAACTTTGTATGGTGTTGGATTGAGGTGACGTTTCATATCGGGTCGAAGGGTATTCAGACCTTCTTCAACTTTTCTTTTAACATCCGAAAGGTCGGGTAAGTTTCGAGCGATCTGTAAACAATTGATAAAAAGAGATTAATCGTTTGATTATTTGGGATAATTAGAGTAAATTTTACCTTTCCTTTGTACCACCATCGCTCATGTAAACGGGTCACTTTCGCTGGTGTTACATGAGCTCTTTTAGATTCGAGGATTGGATGTCGGCAAAGTATCCGTTCATTGACCTGAGGATCTTTCTCATTACATTTGGTTAGAAGATCAAGAATCGCGAATCCATCACGGCCAAATAATCGATAGACATTCTTACGACCTGGAATAGTTACTTTATCCAAATCTTCACTCAATTTAATGCATGAAGATGAATTTATCTCTGTTAGCTAACAGATTAATCAGAAAAAGGATATAATCATGGAGAGAGAGATAACAATTAGCATAATTCTATATCGAAAATGTTATTATTTTTATCTAATTTGTTGCTATTTTGTTTTTCTAGGTTAAGGTAATTTACCTTATAAACACAACCAAGAGCTGGTTGTTTTTGACATGTAACTAAATGAGTTCCTATGGCAAAACATGTTATCCGGTGTCCTTGATCATTGAGTGAGTGAATCGTATCTTCATTGATATCATTTGATGCGATAATTTGTAATGAACAGAACCAAGGGAAATTATAATGGTTTGCAATTGATTCAAATATCCGATGAGCTTCACGAGATAAATAAGCTAAATCACCACTATCAATACGAATACCAATTGGACGGAAACCAAATTCATTAAGAGCAAGAGCAACAACCGAGAAATTGAATAAACCACTTCTAGAGCAAAAAAATTAGCAAAATCAACATTAAATATATTGTAAGGGAAAATTAATTCGTCAAGATTTAGAGAGGGAGAAAGTTAAACAATCAGTATCAGGTTATAAATAAGATACAATCAATGGGATAAATAATAAAATAGTCATGAGACTAATGGTAATCAATATGAAATCAGGTTGAATTGTTCTCAATTTCTTACCTGCAAACATTATATGTATCAACGAGTGCAACAAATGATGAAGGAAAAGCTTGTGCATAAGCAATGAAAGCCGCTAATTCCCCCTCATTGGCCTCAGATTGATTGATATTGAGAAAATTGGATAAAGAGGTTCTCCATTTGTAACAAACACCAACAAAATCCCTTTCAACGCCATCATTTGCATGTTTTAATGTCTAAATACAATGAAAGAAACAAGAACAAGTTATTGATTAGTTAATTGGCCAGGGGAAAAAAAGTAAATCAATGTAAATTGATTGTGGAAATCAATTGATACCCTTGAGTTTAGTTGATCCATTGAAGAATAGGTCATGACAAAGGAATGAGCATGAGTTCCGGTGACAGGGATACCATAAGCTTTACCAGCTAGAAGATTCGATGTACCATCAAATCCTCCGATAAAAGCATATTTAGAGGCCGATAGTCCACCGTCAGGTCCTTGGGCACGACGAAGGCCAAATTCAAATAACTTAACATCCCTAGGAGCGGCCAACCGATAGCGAGCAGCGTTTGTTGCGACTAAACTGTAAATAAGGAAAGGGAAGGAAACAATTAGTTGATTTGTTGTTCTTATTGATTATTGATCATGGAGAGGAAAGTTATTCTTACCTGGCGAAATTGATTAAGGTTAAAAAAGTTGTTTCTAGTAACTGGACTATCGCCAAAGGCCCTTCTACCGATATAAGTGGGACTTTGGGGAAAACAATGGTCCCTTCATCGACAGCGTAAAGGGAAACATCCGAAGCAGTTAAACTTGCCAGGTAATCATAAAATTCTGGTTCCACAGTTGAAGGTAATTTGGTTTTAAGGTAAGAAATGTCTATAGAAATAAAGTCAATGATTAAGAATTGATTCTAAAAACAAGGGAACAACAATTAACTTACCACTGGGAGAGAAGCGAAATCCTTCAAGGTAAAGTAAACAATCCTTGAGACCAGCGAATACAGTGAACTCACCTTGGAAAGGATTTCGACGGAAGAAAAGATCGAAAACAGCTCGAACATCATGTTTTCGATCTTTCCAAAACGAATAGGCCATAGTAACCTCATAGAGGTCTAACAATTAAATTGAACAATCAATTAATCTCAGGAAAAAAAAACACAAATCAAAACAAAATCTACTCACCAGTCAGTAAAGGTTGAATAACATTACTCACAAATCCATTGGAAGTCATTTAAAACCTTTCACAATTAACTCGAATCGCCGAAACAAAATCTAATGAATCATTACAATTAACGAGAGATTAATTGGTAAATGAAGTAGATTAAATTGTTGAGAAGGATAAGTAACAATTAGAATCACAACTCAGATTGTGAACATATGATGAGAACAGATGAGAATGTGGCGCCAATGGAATTAATGTTTTCTAAACTGCGCAGATAAGATTTAAATCTAATTGTGACAATTAGTTAATTGTTCGAATAACGATCAGAGTGTATTGATTATTGTTCTCCAATTGATTGGATTTACTATCGAATTTAATTGTTTCAATTGTTACTTTTTCTTTGAGTTTTTGTGAAATCTTTTCAATTTTTTTTATCTTCTTTCAATTGTGAACAATTGATTATTAAAAATTAAGGAATCACAATATATTTACACAAATAATTGAATTATAATTTTAATTATTGAAATTGCTGAGGGGAGAGAGATAGAGAGAGAGAGAGTAGAGAAAAAGGAATAGAGAGAGAGGGAAGGAGAAAAAATCATTACATCTAATATGATTTTCGTTTGATGATGATAATTAATGATGAAGGTGGTTTTGTTTTTGTTTCTTAATTAATTAACTTAATGAAATTTATATAACTTTATAAAAAAAAGAACCCAGATCCTTTCTTGTGTGTGTGATGAGTGTGTAAAATTTAAATTGATTATGAAATCGTTCAGCGATATAACCCAATTTAATCATCTGACAAGATTGTTTTGTATGGTTTGCGCTTGTTGATGGTGGTGGTGTTGTTGATGTTGTGTACGTGTAGATATTTAGATAATTAAATTTTTGTTTTATACTCGACAATCAGTTAATTTTTTCCAAGGACGTCGGGCTGCTTTTCTTAACTCAACAATGAGCTGTCGATTGATTTTACGTGTTCGTTTATTGATGAAAAAGAAGAGACCATCTTTTGAAAGTGAAAGAGAAAAAGATTAATGAGAAAAGATTTAATTAATTAATCTCATTTAAGTTTTAGAAAAAGGGAAAACTCATTTGATTGGTTTAACTTTTATGGATTTAGAAAAGAAAAGACTTTATTTTTTTTTACCCTTTTCTGTTTCAGAAGGGGGTGGAAAGGCCAATCGCCTGGGGCCAGTTTGTTGACTTTTTGGTTTTAAGATTAACCATTCTGGACAGTCCATGAGTGGAGTACCAAGACGCTGAGATATGTCAATTATTTTACCTCTGTTGATTGGTTTGAAATTTGGGATTGAGGTAACTGCTCCTTCTGCAAGTTTTAGCTGACCTGTTGATTTGAATTGTACGATTTAGCAAATTAACTTGGTAAATTGTAATCATAAATTATTTGGTATCTAGAATAAAATTGATTTACATTCTTGTTTGATGAGAGCAACATTGATCGGTGCAAATGGTGACCTGGCGGCGTGTTTAATTCTGATAATTTGTGAGCATAATCTTCGCGCCAACTTAGCCGCTGATGTTGTTTGTAAATAGAATGCAGCTCGAGTTTTCATCATAATTCGACGAGAACTACCTGCTCTTATTGCAACTTCATGGGTGAGAACAGGATGTCTTGCTGATTGTGATTTGGGTCTCATTTCTTTAGCCACTGTGACACGATTCAATTTGTGATAATTAAGATGAGCAATAAGACGTTCTGTTTTTTGTTTGGAAAGAATAAGCAAAAATAATTACAAAATGATTAATAAAATTGTGGAAAAGAAAATAGTTCCCCCAATTAATGAAGATGAAATTTACGATTAAATTAAAAGTTATCTTGTCAACTGATAATTAGTCTCTAATATTTACCTTGAGATAGGGAAACGTGGTCACATTCATTACAAGGAAAAGTAGCTTGTATAGGAGCCGGTGCAGCTCTTGGTATAATATCATGATTACTATTCAGTTTGGGAAAATTACGGAATTCAGTGAATTTCTTATTAGTCGAATTAAGCCTATCAATTGTTCCATTGTTACCAATTACTGGTTGATTTTGATTCCTAAGTAATAGCAAAAAGGAAAAAAATGGAATATATCAGTTATATTAGTGAAACAATTTCTTCAAATTAGACAAATAACCATAGCGAATGAATCAATAACTTACAAATTTTGCATTTGCATTAATCGAGCTCTATTTTCAGCCTCTGCTACTTTCATTCTTTTCCGTTGTAAACAACGTTCCGTTGTTTTCCACATATAATAAAATTCTATAATACTTCTCATGCTTTTCCAAGACAACTGAAAAATGAAAGAGAATAAATTGGAAAAATTAATAAAATAAACAATACTTATTCAATAGAAACTTGTGAAACAAATTGATAAATACAATTTACATGTATACTTACAAAATCTTGTCTAATTTCATGGAAATCTTTTCCATATTTTTCCATTGCCATTTCAAATAAATTAGCTTCAGCAGCAGACCATTCTTCCATCTCATCACGACAAAGAACTGGACCCGTTGGAGGTACAAGACTGAGAACCGCTTTACCAATGTCATAATCGTTTTGATGCAAAACATTCATAGCATGAGCTAAAGTGATATCTCGTGATGCTGCTGCTGCTGTCATATGAATACTAGGTTGTTTAACTGAGCTAGAATAATCCAAGACTCGAGCAAAAGTGCCAACAGACCTGGAAAGAAGAAAAACAAAAGACAAATTGTTTAAAAAACAACATTAGAAAAGGTAACAAATCAAAGGGAAGGTAACAAGATAAACATAAAGAGTAAACCCCAATAATTATACACTAATGATTATAATAATACATACTTTGCAATAATTAAGTATTGGTCAATTTCTTTCTCTGTCAGTCCATTTTCAGGTTGATAAACAAGTGTTTCCAAATCTTTTAACACTCTTTCATCAATTTTACCTTGAGCTTCTAATGTTTGTGGTATTTCAGCCTGATGTTCAGAACCAATCCTAATTTCACCACGGATGAGTGTCTGTGTGAAAGATTCATCATCCATTGGATCATCCGGCTGTTTGTGAAGAGAAACCAAGAAGAAGAAGAAGAAGAAAAAAAAATCAAGACAATTAAAATTCAATCAATGGTAATTATACAATCAAACTAAACGAATAAAAACTAATTATTACTTTTGTTTTCAAACAATCCTACAGAAGAATAGAAAACACTTGTTAAAAAAAGAAAATTATTTCAACTAATTAATTGTCACAATTTATAAATCAAATACATGAGGTTAAAAACAGAAAAATATTGACAAGCAAATTAATGTGGATTCAGAAAATCAAAATGGAGTCAACATCAAAAAAGAGGCGTGAGGTTTGAGAGAGAAGCGCAGGTTTCAAGTTGCGAGTTACAATTTAGAATGGAAACACTTTGTTCTACTCTCTCATTCAACCTTCTTAATTAGAATGGAATGAGAATTTTAATTTCACCCAAGAGAACATTAATTAAAAGAGAAAAATTGAAATTACAAAAGTAGAAAATTAATTATTCTTTTCCATTTCAAATACAAAGAGAAAATGAATTCCAATCATCAGCTGAGAAGAATAAATTTCTTTCCACCAGAGGGCGATACGAATTTTCTATTTTCTGTTTTCTTTTTAATTTTTTTTTCTTTTTCATTTACTTAACAATAAATTGTGTTGATTTCTTTTTCTCAAATGATTCAGTTAATTAGAAGTTGATTTTTTCTCTCTCTTTTTGTTTTTTCTTTATTTGTGGATAATCGTTTTGTTTTAAGATTTTTCTCTGGCCCTGAAGTGTTTGGTCTTCTATTGAAGACGAAAAAATAAAGAGGCAGAGGAAAGGAAAACCTTTTAGAATTCCAGTGTTGTTACAATGGCTACAATTAGCCATTGTTTTAGACCCTTTTGTAATCAATTATGGAAACGTAAACCTTTATTATTGGCGATTGTGATTGTTGTCTCATTTGGTTTAGTTGTTATCCAATATAGAGATGTTACCTCATCACCTATTTTTTCCTCATCTTCGTCTTCATCTTCTTCAGCATCATCAGGTGTATTATATGGTGGATCATCTAAAGTTTATTTAATGGATGCAAATATGTCTAATTTAACACAAAACCGAGCTGTTTTACCCAAACCATTACATGTAAATAGTTTAAATGAAATTCCTGGTTCTAATGGGTTACCAGATGAATCCTTTAGTATAGCTCGGATTGGAGATGGTGAACCTGGTGATGATTTAAATAAAAATCGTCGCAATAAAATAAGAGAGATGTTAAAATTTGCCTGGGATAATTATGTTAAATACGCTTGGGGTGAGAATGAATTTAAACCGCTGACCAGGAGGCCTCATCATGCGAGTATATTTGGTAAAGAGAAAATAGGTAAGTTCAGATGATCTATTGTACGAAATGATGTCTTACATAAAATCTAATCCAAAATTCTAATCTCTTTCTTTCTACTTCTACTTCTCTGCATTTTCTTCTTCTTCTTCTTCTTCTTCTTCTTATCTTTTCCTTTTCCTTTTCCTTTACTTTACTTCATTTTCTTCTTACAGGATTAACAATTATCGATGCAATGGATACTTTATTTGTAGCTGGATTAAAGGATGAATTCAATGCTGCTCGTGAATGGTTAGCAAGTGAATTTACATTGGAACATTTTAGCGCTGATCTATCAGTTTTTGAGACAAATATACGTTTTCTTGGTAGTATGTTAACATGTTATGCACTTACGGGTGATAAATTGTTCTTGGAAAAAGCTGATTACGTTGCCGCCAAGCTTTTACCTGCTTTTAACACTCCAACCGGAATACCTTATTCATTGATTAATTTAAGAACCCAGGCTGCTCATAATTATTTCTGGGCATCTTCAAGTTCATCCATTCTCGCTGAAATCGGAACCCTTCATCTTGAATTTGTTTACCTTTCCGAGTTGACACAAAAATCAATCTACAAAGAGAAAGTCATTAAAGTCAGAGATTATCTTGATAATTTGGACAAAACCGATGGACTGTACCCAAATTACATTAATCCAAAATCAGGAAAATGGGGTCACCGTAAGTTTAATCCTCTCAATTTAATCATCTATCTCCCGAATATTATATGTGTTCACAGTCAGAATAATCTTTCCCGAAATTGACAATACAATTTAAATAGAAAATTTTCCATTGATGATTTTAAGCCAACTATTGGCATCAACAAATCGTTTCTCTCTCTCTCTCTCCCCTAATATTGTCAATCAATCTAATCACTTTATTAGCAATCAACACCTACTTAATTTATGTTGACTTTTAGGTGAAAATTATCTTTCAGAATCGAATAATTGAATTTCTTTTTCATTCCAAAAAAATACCATCAAATAGATTCTCATTCTATTTGTAATCAAAACTGATTCAATTCTAGTTGAAGATAAATAGTATCATCTTGAAATGAAATCTTCATCCTGACCCATTAAAGTGTCAACACAATGATCTCATGTTGCTTCATGTGTTGTTGTTTTTTTTGGTTATCCAATTCAGATAACATTTTCTTGAGTTAACAAAAGTTCAGGTTGAATCTTATAGAATCTCTTCCTGTTTTATCAATACTACTACTCTTGAGATTTGGTTACAAAACTTGAAAGTGATTAAGATGATAAAATAATCTCAGTGACAAAAAAATCTTCCCATAGATTGACTTAAATATTATATATTTCTGATGACTAAATTGTAGGGTTAATTGTTACCCTCTCAATTTAATCAGTTCAAACTAATTAATTTTCATTTAATTTTCTTATTTTCATATATTCAAATTTCCCTCTTATGTTACAATTGACAATTAGAAATCGACCCCTTAAGATTTTCTATTCTTTTCTTTAATGTTCTTTCCGCTTCTTTTTCTATTGTTCCTTTTCCTTGTTTAATTCTCAAGTGAATTAATTCAGTTAATTTAGTTTAATCTAAAATATGTGGTTACTAGTTGATCTCAACTATTTCCGAATTCTTTTCTTATTTCCTTTTCCTTGTTAAAACAGTTAAATAGCAATGATCCAAATCAATTGGACACACTTCTTTGGTGCTACACTTAACCTGTGCTTCAGTCCCTTAAAGTTGTCAACCCTTTTCTTTTGTGTTTTTGATTTTTTGAATAAAAATCGTACTCAAGTTAATTACAAAGGTGATAATTGCTTGAATGGTAAAGTCTAACGCTGTAGTTAGCAAAATTTGTGTTTAACTGAAATTGTGTCAGTTGTATCAATTAAGTGCGAGAAAGATTCGTGGCTGATTGAATTTGATTTTGTTCTGTTTATTGTATCAATTAAGTGCAAGGACGATTTGTGGCTGATTGAATTTTGTTCTGTTTGTTTGAATCGATTCAAAGGTTAAATAAAAGTTAAAGTAATCACCCACTCTAAGTGACAATCCAGTATCCGAATTATAAATTAAGTGTAGGGCTTAATGCGATCTTTTGATTGACCTAATCCGAATTTAACTATAACCCCTTCATATGGCGACCTAGGCAGGATTGTCTCCATTGTGGTAACTGTATCTTTACTATTATTTTTCCCCATTGATTTCAAACGTTTGTTGTTTCTTTTGTTTTTCTTTCGTACCATTCAGTGTTAAAATGTCTAACCCTGAAGAGATTGTTAAGATTTCTGCCCTCTCTAGTGATGATAGAAATTCTTATCTGAAAGAATGGGGATTGTCTCCTCCAAATTCTGAATGTGGTAATATCATCTTTATTGAAGCTGCTATAACCCAATTGTTAACTGTTAACATCGATGTTAATGCCGCCGCGCTTAACAAGATGAATTCAAATTCGTTAAAAGGTATTAAAACTCCTGATTGGATCAATCAATTGAGAAATGAAGGTGTAATGGAAATGGAAATTAGAGAAATCATCTCTAAACTTGGTTGTAAACCCTCAACTATTGCGTTAACTACGGAAAGTGCTTGTCGACAACTCAATGTGAGTAATCCAACAAAGCGTCTTATTTGGTCTTATATTAAAAAATGGAGTTCAGTTTCTGATGAAACAAGAACTAGTACTGTTAAAAAGGTAATTCATCCTGATTCAATGTTAAGAAGAGAAATGCAAAACTCTGATGACCCAACTGGTATTGATCAAGATCAACTAAGTGATGATGGACAATTTGATCCAAATCGAGTCCGATCTTCATCTATTAATCATAATGATCCTGTTAATCATTATATACAACCGATTGTAAATCCTCCTGTTATTAATCCTGTTATTAATAATCCTGTTAATCATTCTGTTAATCATATTGTTAACCCTGTTAATGTTTCTACTACTCCTGTTGAAACGATTCCTCAACCTGTTATACAAACAATTAATCCTGTTTATACTAAAGATCCTATTCTTCCTCCGTTTAAGCAAAATTCTGATGCTTGGCAATGGTTAAAAAATGTCAAGAGACAACTCAAATACGAAATGTTAATGATAACACCCGATTAAGAGTGTTGAAAAAAGCTCTTTCATTTGAACTTTTAGATGCTGCTGAATCTTTAGATGAAAAAGATTTAGATTATTTTGGTTACGTTGAAGCTTTGGAAGCTTATCTGAAAGGTCCAACTGCTTTAGCAACTGCTCAAGCTGAGTTAAGCTCAATGTTATACAATTTTGATGAACATCCATCTCAATTCATCGATAAATTAAAAGATAGAATAACTAAAGTTAAAGGTGCTGTTTCGAAACAAGGCCTAATCTACGAGATAATGGAACATCTCCCAAAAGGTATTCGAGATCACTTAGTAGAAGTTCGTGCTAATGTTGATTTAGATTCGTTAATTGGAGTACTAATTCACAAGTACTATTCAGCTTTGGAAAGCAAAAAGCTAAAAGAAGCTAAAGAAAAATCTGAAAGATTGGAACGATTTAAAAGAGTTAATTCGCCAATCCAAGTTAATAAAAGTGTTCCTGTCGATCCAAATCGTAATCAAAGTCAACCGTTTAGACCGAGATTTAATCCAAATCTTACCTGTTACGATTGTAAGGAAACTGGTCATACTAGTAAATATTGTCCAAAGAAAAGTGATAATATTCCTGGTGCTACTCCGTTAAGAATGGCTAATGATTCGAATCATCATTCATCAGCCTCATCAACAAATTCTTCTGTTTCAACTAATTTAATTTCTGAAGAAAATTTATCTGTTAATTCTAACAGTATACCGACCCCCTCATCTGAATACATTTTCATGGTTGAATCTGCTAATCAACAAAAGAAAATGATAACAAAAATTGACTCTGATGTCAAAGTGATTCCAACGGTAACATTGAAACTTTGTTATCCAAATCGAGATATTTTCATGGTAGGTGATGTATTAGTTGATACTGGTGCTAATACAGCGTGTATGGACTATTCGCTGGCTAATCATCTAAAAGCTTACATCATGAAATCAGATGTATCAATTAAAGGAATTGTTGCTAACAATTACCTCCATGTTGAAGGTGCTGCTTATATCTTATTAAAACATGAAAAGATGAAAACATGCAAAGCCTTAAGAATTCAAATTGTGAGAAATTTAGAACCCGTTTTTGTTTTAGGAAATCGATTCTGTGATATTTTCTATGCTGCTATTAAAAACAATGGTGGTGATTATTCTGTTAAATTATTCGAATATTGTGATTCGGATCCCCTGACTAATGAATTATCAATTCGATTTTGCTCTCCTGAAGAATCAATTCAATTAAGTAAGGAGCCAAATATATTTTCACTTCCTCCTCAATGTCGAATGAAACCGAAAAGTGATAAAAGTGAAAAAGGTGAATCAATTGATTTTCCTCAATCTCCATATACTGATGTGGAATTGAAAAAGCCTTCTCATCGACCTCAAGAAATTAATTGTTTAATTGAATCAATTCAAAAGAAAGAATTGGTATCATTCTTATATACAATTGAAGAACCTGAACCCATTCCTTTGGAACAACGATTATTAAAAAGGATGGACGAAAATCTAACGGTAAATCAAAAACAAGAATTACTTAAATTATTATTAGAATTCGATGATGTGTTTTCAAAAAATCGTAAAGACCTTGGTTTTGTTCCATGGCAAAAATGGCCAATAAAAATTGATATTGGTGAAAACCAAGTACCATTCCAAAAGCCGTATCCCTGTACTGTTCAAATACGAAAAGCTTATCAACAAATAATTAATGAATTAATCGACAACGATATTATTGAAACAAGTAAAGCTCCTGGTGGATCTCCTGCTTTGCTAATTGGTAAATCTGATGGTACTTATAGATTATTAAATGATCTAAGAGCTGTCAATCGAATGACAAAAATTGTATACCATCCGATGCCAAGAGTGGACGATTGTTTAGAGGCACTTCGAGATGCTTCATTCTTCAACATGTTCGATCTCTATCAAGGTTATTTTCAGATAGAAATCCCTCCGTCTGAACGAGATAAAACTGTTTTCGTCACTCCTGACGGAAAGTTCCAGTATAAAAGGCTTCCAATGGGATTAGCCTGTGCACCCTTCGAATTTCAAAGGCTAATGAATCAAGTCTTAGAAGGATTGAATTATTCTGAGTGTTTAGGATATTTCGATGATGTGCCCGTGATTGGAAAAAATTGGAACGATTTATTGGACAATACAAGAAAAGTATTAAGTCGACTACGACTGTGGAATCTCAAAGTTAAAACTGACAAATGCAAATTTGGATGTCGAGAACTTGTTCTTCTTGGACATTTGGTCAATGGTTCTGGTATTCGACCTGATCCCAAAAAAGTTGAAGCGCTCAAAAAGCTTCCCTATCCAAATTCAGTGAAACAATTACAATCAATTCTCGGTTGTTACAACTATTTCTCTAGTTACATTAATAACTTTTCTTTATTAGCTTCTCCATTATACAGATTAGTATCCAAAGAGAGAAAATTCAAAATGATAAAACAAGATTTTGAAGCTTTGGATAAGTTGAAAAAGTCTCTGGTTGAAACTACATTATTGGTTCATTTTGACCCTCATCTACGAAGAAAGTTAACCGCCGATGCAAGTGACATCGCCGTGGGAGGAATTCTCCTCCAAGAAGATTCAAATCAACCTGTTCC